AGCCGGCAACTGTGCGGTAGTCACTATGGTAGGAGCCGTAGGTGACGCGGGGGTGGTGGACACCCTAGAGGCACGGTTGGAGAACGCGAGGAGGAAGCACGAGGCCAACGAGTACGGCGACTTGCCCTGGCCGGTCGTCGAGGCTGGACTCCGCTCCATGTGGGCGACGGAGCACCCGTCTCGACCTGCCTCTCCTCGTCCGGTGAACAACGAACGCGGCGTCGACGTGGGCGTCAACGCCGGTGGTGGTCAAGTTGGCAGCAGTGCTGGAGGCACGTCGAGGCAAAGAGGTGTGATACACGCCGGTGAAGTCGGCGGCGTTCAGACGCGAGGGATGCAGTCTTCGGCGGCTGCAGGCTCCTCGCATGGCGACGCTGGTGGGCGTCGAGGTGGGCTGTCGCCGATGTCGGCGACCCAGGTGACGGTGGGCGGGATTGCGCCGAGCTACGGCTACTTCAAGTTTACGCCGGACAGGATCTCGGTCACCCCTCCGCTGGTCGGTCGACCCGACATTCTCACCTGGAAGGAAGCCATCGAGCCCCAGCTGGAGATGGCCGGACTGATCGGCTTCGCCCGAGGGACCGTGGCGACACCGGGGGAACACCACCCCGACTTGCGAGCGGAGTTTCGCGCCGTGCAGCTGTTGACCTTCACGGTCATCTCGCAGTGCTGCTCGCCGGGAGGAGGAGGACCAGTAGAAGGCGGAAGACCAAGAACCTGCTGAAGGAGCGGAACGAAGTACGGTCGAGGTCGCGTGGCGACTCGAGACACAGCAGGGAAAGCACCAGTACCCCTAGCAAGAGCACCACCGCCAGCAGCACCTCCAGCTCCAGTACCCCCAGCAGCTCCAGTAGCTCCAGGACCTCCAGCAGCACCAGTAGCACCCCCAGCAGGACCGCCAGTAGTAGCCTCAGCGCTAACCCCTTCAGTAGCTCCAGCTCCAGTCGTACCCGCAGGCCCAGCAGCTCCAGTACTCCCAGTACGAGCACCTCCGGGACCCGCGACACCAGCACCCTCAGTAGCCGAAGAACCTCCAGCTCCAGCAGCACGCCTCTAGTGCCGGGCAAACCACTCACGCAGCTCCGGTGGAGAGAGTGACTCCCGCGGAGACGAAGCACCCGGAGATCCACCAGGCACAGTACCGCCAGACGCCACACGAACAGGTCTAGCTCCGTCAGGCTCCACACCTCCAGGCTCAGCACCCCGAGGCGTAGCACCCCCAGGCTCAGCACCCCCAGGCTCAGCACCCAAAGGCTCAGCACCCCCATTAGTAGCACCCTCAGGCTCAGCACCCCTAGGCGTAGCACCCTCAAGCTCAGCACCCCTAGGCTCAGCACCCCCAGTAGTAGCACCCTCAGGCTCAGCACCCCCAAGCGTAACACCCACACGCTCAGCACCCCCAGGCTCAGCACCTTCAGCAGCACCAGAGTCACCAGTAACCTCGACAGGCTCGACTGCGTCTACCTGGGACACACCTGAAGGGGCAGGACCCTGAGGGGGGAGGGGGTCTACCGGGGGGGGACCTGGCACAAGGAAGAGCGCTGGCGGGGGGAGGGACGGAGTGCGGTAGGGGAAGAGGCGGTAGTAGGGGACCGACTCGTCAAACGTGACGTCCTGGGAGGACAGAACACGGCGAGAGGTGGGGTGGTAGAACTGCCACCCAGGCGCGTCAAGTGGGAAGCCAAGGAAGACGCAAGGAGCAGCAGGAGGGGACAGCTTGTCTGCAGACAAGTCGCGGACAAACGCCCGAGATCCTCAGACACGGAACGCAGACGCATCGCCAACATTCCCCATCCACAGCAAAGCCAGGGAGGTCTCCGGTCTGGAGACCCTGGGGTGAAGGTTGATCTGATGCGCCGCGTACCTGACTGCAAACGGCCACAGAAAATGGGAGGCAGCCACATGCATCATGGACGTACGAGCGACGTCCCTGACCATGCCAATGCGGCGCTCAGCAATCCCATTTTATTGCGGCGAGTCCGGAAGCGTGAAGGTCTGGCGGATGCCTCGTGCACGACAGTAGGCTTGCAGAAGGCCAGAGGAGAACTCTCCACCTCTGTCAGAGGGCAGACGCAGAACAGGCAAGTCCGAGCCGAAATTCTGCCTGAGCTGGAGACGAAGCTGCGCGGATCCAGTCGATCAACACCTCAGTGACATCACCCTTGCTGCGCAAGGGGAAGAGTGCGGTGTAACGTGAGTAGTCGTCAACCACCAGCACGAAGTAGCGCTCGTGACCCTGTCCACGGACGCGGGCTGGGCCCCACACGTCCATGTGAAGCGTCTGCAGCGGGGCCTCTGTCGGAGGAAACTGGGAGGAGTGAGGGGCAGCCCGCTGCTGCCCCTCGACACAGTGGACACAGGTAGGGCCAGGCCCTGGAGGAAGGGGAGGGAGGGACCGGGGAAGACCAAAAACAAGGAGACGGGAGGCCATGCCTCTGAGACGAAGCAGAGAGGGGTGACCAAGGCGGTGGTGCCAGAGGAGAGTCTCGTGAGACAGGAGACGACACGAGCAGGGGGCAGACTCAAGACCAGACCTGGACGCCGTAGCAAACACCTGACCCGACGTAGCTACCTGACCAGACGCAGTAACTGGAGGAGACTCAGTGGTCAGTGTGTACAAGCTCGACCCCGGCTGACGTGTAAACGTACTGCACAAGTAGCGCAACACCCTCTTCGTTGCAGCCATGTGCTCCGGTCTGTGTTTCCTAGGAGCAACATAGCGTGCAAGAATGCTAAGAGGGTATGCAAGGTCAGGTCGTGTGCAGGTCATCAGGTACATGAGGCAGCCAACAAGCTCTGCATACGGGCCACTCGACTCTACGGACTCGTCCGAAGGCAGAGCTGAGAGCGAGTGGCGAGTAGGTAGAGGAGTGGCCTGAGGCGAGGAGTACGTGAAGCCGAAGCGCTGAAGGACCTGCTGCACCATGTGTGACTGAGTCAGGGTAATGGTGCGGCGTGCTCTGTCCCGGGTGATCTGCAAGCCAAGGTAGCTGCGCAGTTCACCCAGGTCAGTGCACGTGTGTCTCTTCTGCAGCTCAGACTTCACGTAGGCGAGTCCAGCAGTGTCAGCTGTGGCAAAGACCAAGTCGTTGATGTACACAAAGAAGTGTCGGTGCGCAAAAACAGCGACGGGTCGGCAGTAGAAGGGGCGAACCCAAGAGCCGCAAGTGTAGTTCTCAGTGTGTCGTGCCACTCGCGCGGTGCCTGGCGGAGACCGTAGACCGGCCGCCTGAGGCTCCACTGGGTGCCAGGAGGAAAAGACCCAGTGAAGCCAGGTGGGCGGCGCAGCCAGATCTCCTCGTGCAGGCTGCCCTGCAAGAAAGCAGTGCTGAAGTCGAGAGAGTGCAGCTCGTAGTCACGGTGAGCAGCTACGTGCAGCAGTACCCGAAGAGTGGTCATCTTCGGGGTGGGAGGGAAGGTATGTAAGTAGTCAACTCCCTGCCGCTGACTGAAGCCACGAGCCACGTAAAGCGCCTTGAAGACAGGCGTAGAACCCGGCCGCCGCTTCACCCTGAAAATCCACATGCCATTGACGATGTTTGCCCCAGGAGGGGGAACCTCGTCAACGTAGGTGCCTGTGGACTTCCCTTGTATTTGGTTTCTATGTATATTTTCACGTCCACACCAATCGTCCACGCACTAGATTCAAACTCCTTATTTACATTGCTTGCCTTGCATCACACCCTTTGATCCCCTTCATTTGCACCATCCCAGTGATATTTCATACAACCAGTTTTCAGGCACCATCTTTAGTAGTGTCAGTGTCCTAGGTAGTTTAAAATCTTTGTGAGTAACTTGCATCTGAAATTCTCACGATCCTTGTGTGTTGCACCTTTATTGCATCTCTTGATCAACTGCTTCCAGCTTGAGACAAAATGTGCCGACTCGGTTTGGATTGCATGGTGTATACTATGTCGGGACCATGAATCGGAAGGAACATGTTTTTATTATATCACGGATACCTAGGCGTGACCCACATGCCCTGATTCCTGTTGGGCCGGAGCATGCAACTAGCTGGTCTATTCAAAACATGTCAGGGTTTGCTAATTATGGGCACAAGTGAGGTCTCTCATGTTGTGTCGCACAATTTGATGCCATGTGTCACATTATCTTGGAAGTTGTTCAATGTTGTATTGGAGTTTTTTTTTTTTTCTCAATGTCAGTACTGGCTGGGATTGCATGTTTGCAGAATCCTTTCCCACTAGCTTCATCTGACATCTCGACTCACACTCACTTGTAGATCTGTCACTTGCATCCCGTTCTGTACTGCAGAAATTTGAGCAGCAACCAGCTCAGTGGCCCTGTTTCTTTCATTTCCTCACTCACGCTGTTGAATGATCTGTAATCCCTCTTGCATCTCTCTTGTCCTTCCTCTCAAAACCGTTCTCATGGAACAGGTTTCCCTGGAACGTTGTCAATGTGCTGCTTCAAACCTCTTCCTCCCCACATCCTTCCATCCATTAGCTTGCCTCCCATTCACACGTCCAGTTAAATTTTCCTGATCATGATTGGTCATACCATGGTTGGTATTATGCGGCCATTAACCCAATGCACGAGTGCACGTGCTGGTCCATCAACTCTCTTCGAAACAAATCTCTGTCAGGATCCATGCCCTTCACCATCTCAGAGCTCACTGCACTCTCGTATTTGTAAGTTGATAAACTGCTTACAACTCGGCTGAAGACACCATTCGCCGACTGTGGTTTGAATTGCTTGATGCTCTTTCACCTCAGCCCTCCTCGTGCTCTAGCATCATGCTCTTTTCGCTTATCGTATTTCATGTTTACCGATCGTTGCTTTAGCTTCAACAAGTTCAGTCTCACACAAGGTTACCCTTCCCATGTACTACAATTTTAACAACTTCCATTCTGTCTATGCAATAAAAAATGCACCTGGCATGCTCGTGTAGTCAACCACTTCACTCCCACTGTCGGTGATGCAACACATGATGCCTGCTTGTCTGTATACCGTGGAAGTTGTAACATACTCCTCCAAACATCTTACTCTCCTGCCTGAATCTCTGGTTGCGTCACTCTGACTTCCCACTGCAAGCAGAGTGGTTTGGCCTCAGCTGCAACATTGATGGCACTTCCATCATACAATATGCTCCTAGATTCGTGCCCACATTTGCAATAATCCCCTACCAGATGTCCTGTTATTGCCCGTTCAATCACTTGCTCTCTTAGCACCGCCCCCATCACTTCGTCCACTGGACGTCGCCCTCCAAGCACTAGCCCCATGCCCAACGTACTGCACAAGTAGCGCAACACCCTCTTCGCTGCAGCCATGTGCTCTGGTCGGTGTCTACCAGGAGCCACATAGCGTGCCAAGATGCTAAGAGGGTATGCTAGGTCAGGTCGTGTGCAGGTCATCAGGTACATGAGGCAGCCAAAAAGCTCTGGGTATGGGCCACTTGGCTCTACAGACTCGTCCGAAGGCAGAGCTGAGAGCGAGTGGCGAGTAGACAGAGAAGTGGCCTGAGGCGAGGAGTACGTGAAGTCGAAGCGTTGAAGGACCTGCTGCACCATGTGTGACTGAGTCAGGGTAATGGTGCGCTGTGCTCTGTCCCGGGTGATCGGCAAGCCAAGGTGGCTACACAGTTCACCCAGGTCTGTGCACGTGTGTCTCTTCTGCAGCTCGGACTTTACGTGGGCGAGTCCAGCAGTGTCAGCAGTGGCAAAGACCAAGTCGTCGACGTACACGAGGATGTAGAACGGCGGCAAAGAGGTGTCGGTGCGCAGAAACAGCGACGGGTCGGCAGTAGAAGGAGTCAACCCAAGAGCCGCAAGTGTAGTCCTCAGTGTGTCGTGCCACTCACGGGGCGCCTGGCGGAGACTGTAGACTGGCCGCTGGAGACTCCACTGGGTATCAGGAGGGAACGACCCAATGAATCCAGGTGGGCGGCGCAGCCAGATCTCCTCGTGCAGGCTGCCCTGCAAGAAAGCTGTGCTGAAGTCAAGGGAGTGAAGCTCGTAGTCGCGCTGAGCGGCTATGTGCAGCAGCACCCGAAGAGTGTTCATCTTCGGGGAAGGGGAGAAGGTCTGAAAGTAGTCAACTCCCTGCCGCTGACTGAAACCTCGAGCCACGTAACGCAGGCGGAGAACCCGGCGGCCGCTTCAACCTGAAAATCCACATGCCACTGACGATGTTCGCCCCAGGTGGGGGAACCTCATCGACGTAGGTGCCTGTGGACTTCTAGGAAGCCATCTCTGCCACCATGGCTGACTGCCACTGTGAGGAGTAGGGACCCTCGATCGCCTCAGCATACGATCGAGGAGTCGGGATTTCTGGTGCATCCGGGTCTCCCTCAGGGGCAATCAGCGTGGACACAAGATGAGGCAAAGCAGCAGCAAAACACTGGAACTCCTCTTGTCTGTCCTCAAGGACGTCCGTGCTAAGAGCACGCTCACCCCCGACGGACGGAGGACAGACAGACACAGTCTCAGCAATAATACTAGCAGCGTAGTCTAGATGACAGCGAGCAGCAAAGTCGACAAGCTCAACAACTAAGGCACACGCAGCAGTGGACTCAAAAGAAGGGTTAGTGACGACGGTAGCCAGGAGACGCGTGACAGTAAGACTGGCAGCACGAAGAGAGTCTGACTCAGGGTCAGCAAGAGTAGGAAGAGAGGACTCTGGAGGAGACGGCAACAGGACACGTAGAGGAGCAGTGGAAGGACGCAGTGCCATCTGGTGTGTGCCGGGGACCGCAGGAGGACGCGGACGCGGAGCACGACCACTAGCGCGAGCAGCACGAGCAGGCGACGCAGGACGAGACGCAGGCTCACGACGCTCAGCAAGACCTCCAGTAGGAACTGTGTAGGGAGAAGGAGCAGGCAGCGGGGAGGCAGGGTGTAATTGTGTCCGTGACTGGACAGCCTGTGGACACGCTAAGGGAGGAGCAGGGCCAGTAGAGGGCGGGAGACCAAGAACCTGCTCAAGGAGTGGAACGAAGTACGGCCTCGGCCGCGCAGCGCCTCCAGAACCAGCAGGGACAGCACCAGTACCCCCAGCGGCAGCACCAGCACCAGCACCAGCAGCATCTCCAGCTCCAACAGCGCCAACGTCAGCACCCTCAGAAGCACCAGTGCCAAATCCAGCACCCTCAGAAGCACCAGCGCAAGCAGAACCACCAGCGCCAACACCCCCAGCAGCTCCAGCTCCAGCAGCTCCAGCTCCAGCAGCTCCAGCAGCACCAGCTCCAGTAGCACCTCCATCAGGACTCCCAGTCCCAGCAGCTCCAGAACCGCCAGGACGAGCACCTCCAGGACCAGCAGCAACAATAGTACCTCCTGCTCCAGCAGCACGGCTCCAGTGCCGGGCAAACCACTCGCGCAGCTCCTGCGGAGAGAGGAGCTCCCGCCTCGAAGAAGCACCGCCAGTGGCCACACGAGTAGACCCAGCACCCCCAGGCTCCGCACCCCCAGGCTCAGCGCACCCAGGCTCCGCACCCCCAGGCTCACCACTCCCAGTCTCAGCACCCCCAGGCTCAGCACCCCCAGTCTCAGCACCCCCAGACTCAGCACCCCCAGGCTCAGCACCCCGAGACTCAGCACCCCCAGGCTCCGCACCCCCAGACCTGGCACCCGCAGGCACAGCGCGCCTAGCAGCACCAGAGTCAACAGCTACCTCGACAGGCTCACCTGCGTCTACCTGGGACACACCTATCGGGGCAGGATCCTGAGGGGGGAGGGGTTCTACCGGGGGAGGACCTGGCGCAAGGAAGAGCGGCGGCGGGGGGAGGGGCGCAGTGCGGTAGGGGAAGAGACGGTAGTAAGGCACCGACTCGTCAAAGGTGACGTCCTGGGAGGACAGAACACGGCGCGAGGCAAGGTGGTAGAACTGGCAACCAGGTGCGTCAGGGGGGAAGCTTGTCCGCAGACAAGTCGCGGACAAACGCCCGAGATCCCCAAACCCGAAACGCAGACGCATCGCCGACCTTCCCCATCCACCGCAAGGTGGGGGAGGTCTCTGGCAAGGAGACCCGGGGCTGAAGGTAAAGCTGATGCGCCGCGTACTAAACCGCAAACGGCCACAGAAAATGGGGAGCAACCGCATGGATCATGGACGTACGAGCGACGTCCATGACCATGCCATTGCGGCGCTCAGCAATCCCATTTTGCTGTGGAGAGGCCGGAAGCGTGAAGGTGTGGCGAATGCTCTGAGAATGACAGAAGGCTCCCAGACAAGAGGAAAACTCCCCGCCTCTGTCAGTGTGCAGACGCACAACAGGAAAGTCCGAGCCGAAACTCTCTCTGAGCTGGAGACGAGCTGCGCGGATCCAGTCGTTCAACACCTCAGTGACGTCACCCTTGCTGCGCAAGGGGAACACCGTGGTGTAACGCGAGTAGTCCTCAACCACCAACAGGAAGTAACGCTCGTGACCCTGGCCATGAACGCGGGCGGGGCCCCACACGTCCATGTGAAGAGTCTGCACGGGAGCCTCTGTCGGAGGAAACTTGGAGGAGTGAGGAGCGGCGCGCTGCCACCCCTCGACGCAGGGGACGCAGGTAGGGGCCGGCCCGGAGGTAGGGGAGGGAGGGACCAGGGGAGACCAGAGACAAGGACACGGGAGGCCATGCCTCGGAGACGAGGCAGGGAGGGGTGACCAAGGCGGTGGTGCCAAAGGAGAGTCTGGTGGGACACGAGACGACACGTGCAGGGCGCAGACTCAGGACCAGACCTGGACGCTGCAGCAAACACATGACTCAACGCAGCTACCTGACCAGACATAGTAACAGGAGGAGACTCAGTGGTCAGTGTGTACAAGCTCGACCCCAGCTGACGGGTAAACGTGGCCAAGTGTCGGCCCGTCCGTGCACACGTACAGTGGGTCACCCGCTGACTCGCAGGTGTGAACTGGTGAACCCCCCGATCCTGTAGATCAGCTCCACTCACCAAGTTCGTAGAGAACGAGGAGAGGTAGAGACCTGACAGAGTGCAAGAGGGGGCTGCTGGACATGGTAAGGCTGTCAACGGGACTTGGGTATTGGCCCTGTCCTCTCTTGGGCGGAGCCGACTTCGTGGTCGGGTGTGAGGGGAGCAGCCGACCTGCAGCAGTGGGTGAGCTGGTCGACGAGGAGGTCGACCTGCACGGGGGACCACTGCACTGGCGCCGACCTCAGGGTGGCGCCGACTTCAGGGAGGTCGACTTGGGAGTTGACCTGCGGAGAACGTCAACTAAGGGAAGCCGACTTTGGTGGTCGGCTGATGGACCACTGGTCGACCTGCGGGCGGTCGACTGGACCTGGTGGTCGACGACGGAGGGGCCGACGTCGACCTTGACTCAGGACGCCGAGCAGTTAGGCGTCGAGTAGCGGGGCGTCAACTTAGTGACGCCAGTTTCGGGTGGCCGACGTGGGTGGTCGGCCGACGACTACGCTGGTCGACGAGGAGTAGGTCGACCAGGAGTGCTGGTCGACATGGAGCTGGTCGACCAGAGGGGACGTCGACCTGGAGGAGGTCGACGTGGAGGTGACGTCGACCTGGTGAGGTCGACGTGGCTGGTGGGCACAGTCGCTGGCATGGGATCTGCCAGGCGTCTAGATTGTGCACGTGACAGGGAAGTGCACACCAACCAGCTGCATGCATCTGCGAAGCAGGTGCACCGTTGTCCTGCGGGTGCAACGCTGTGCAGCCGACTTGGTGCAGCGCTGGCACACTGTGGACTTGCAACGTTGGCAAGCCGCTACTCTACAACGCTGGAGCGGTGCGAGCACTGCTGCGCTGGAACGCGGTCGACCGTGCTGCGCTGGAGGTCGACCAGCAGCCTAGCTAGCTCTGATGTAGTGAATGTTGCTAATGTTTTTGTAATCATTGTTCTGAACTTTTCCTAGTGGAACTCTTGCCAATTTTCCCCGTGAACTAGCAAGTAGTGTGCGCACAAGGAAAACGACTAAGGAACAGAGAACGCAGAGATCACACGAGCACACGTGCCTAGCCCGTAGCCTAGCTCCCGTTGCTGCAGTTATCTCCGCATGGTGCGGTGAGCGTGGACGACACCGCGACGTAGTTCAGTCTAGCCGACTTAGCACATTCCGATCGTGTTCGTAAACCGGCAGCCGTGCAGTCACTAGCGTGCGCGTAGGCGACGCCGAGGTGATGGACACCCTGGAGGGACGGCTGGAGGATGCGAGGAGACGCCATGAGACCCAGGAGTATGGGGCGATACCCTGGGCAGTCGTCGAGGCCAGACTCCGCTCCGTGTGGGCGGCGGAGCATCCCCCTTCTCGACCTGCCTCTCCTCGACCGGTGAACAATGACGGCGGCGTCGACGTGGGCGTCAACGCCGGTGTAGGCCAGGTCGGCAGCAGTGCGGGAGGCACGTCGAGGCACCGAGGTGTGATACAAGCCGGTGAAGTCGGCGGCGTTCAGACGCGAGGGGTGCAGTCGGCGGCGGCTGCAGGCTCCTCGCAGGGCGACGCCGGAGGACGACGAAGCGGATTGTCGCCGATCTCAGCGTCCCAAGTGACGGTAGGTGGGATTGCGCCGAGCTACGGCTACTTCAAGTTTACGCCGGACAGGATCTCGGTCACTCCCCCGCTGGTCGGTTGACCCGACATTCTCACATGGAAGGAAGCCATCGAGCCCCAGCTGGAGATGGCCGGGCTGATCGGCTTCGCCTGAGGGACCGTGGCGACGCCGGGGGAGCACCACCCCGACCTGCGTGCGGAGTTTCGCGCCGTGCAGCTGTTGACCTTCACGGTCATCTCGCGGTGCTGCTCGCCGGGCGTGCAGATCGCCTTGAAGTGGTGCCGGGAGTACATCGACGCTGGCCAACGGGCGTGGCACTTCATCGAGTCGACGTACCAGGTCACCGACAACTTGTTCATCGCCCAACTGGAGGGACAGCTGACGCACCTGCGTATGGGCGACGAGGAGAGTGCGACCGACTACTGCAACCGAGCCAGGCGAATTCTTGCCACCATCAGGATGGCCGGAGCGCAGTACTCCACGGCGTCGTACATCACCCATGTCATGCAGGGTCTCTCTAGCAGCTACAACCTGCTGAAGCGGCTGTCCATGGCGCCGAGCACGAGGGCGACGCTCAACGAGGACAACCTGACCTCGTATATCCTGCAGGACGAGGTGATGCAGGAGGCTGAGCGGTCGCAGGAGCTCATGGCGCAGGCGAACTTGGTCACCTCGGCGAAGCAAGGAGGTCGATTGGGGCAGCGCGGGCAGTCCGGCGGTGGTGGTCGTAGTGGCTGGAAGCCGGCCAAGGAGGTCGACAAGAGGAAGTCGACCAAGGACAGCGGTCGTGGAGGAGGAGGTCGACGTCGGGAGTGCTGGCTGTGCGGCGACCCCGACCATCTCTCCTTGGAGTGCCCCAACCGCAGCGACTCCGACGACGACGATGCTAAGGGAGGCCATGGAAGGTCTGGCAGCCGTCGTCCTCGTCGTGGAGGAAACCAGCCGCGCAAGGAGAAGCAGTTGACCAAGACATCGACTTCGGCGAAGGACGCCGACTCCTCTGCTGGCGGAAAGGGGCGAGACGACAAGACGACGTCGTGCTCGCAGGTCGGCGTCGTGGAGCCGACTATCTCTTTGGCGCCGGAGGCCGGAGAGGACTTCCAGGCGGTGGCGGCAGCTGTGCAGGCAAACCCAGCGGTGGTCCTGCTCGACAGCGGTTGCTCTCACCCCCTGATGGGGACGAAGGAAGCCTTCGTCGACTTGCAGCCGAGCGGCGCCATCCGGCATGTGCGCGGCTTCAATGGGGCGCTGCAGGATGTCCAGGGCTGCGGCACCGTCGCTCTGCAAGGAAAGGCCGGGAAGGAGGTGCTCATCCCCGACGTGTTGTACGTCCCGGGTGTGCGAGCCAACCTGCTGTCGGCCGGCCAGTTGAAGGAGCATGGCGTAAAGCTGCAGGAGGATGGAGACGGCATGCTGCTCTTTTCAGCAGCAGGGGAGGTGCTTGGGCGTGCGACGTACTCTGGGTGAGTCCTCTGCACCGACCTGCGTCCCTGCGTGATGAGGTCGACGCCGCCCTCGACGGAGGTGGTGGCTCTGCGGGCGATCGTCTCGAAGACGAAGTCGACGCCGGACCGGATGCATGCAAGGCTTGCGCATGTCGGCATGGACACCATACGGAGCTCGGCGAAGAACGAGGTCGCCATTGGGCTGGACCTCAAGTCGGCGACGGACGCCGACTCCCCGTGTGTCTCGTGCGTCGGCGGGAAACTGGCGCGGCACACCTTCCCCGACCAAGGCTCCGACGCCGACGACGTGCTGGCCGTCGTGCACATCGACCTGTGCGGGCCGTTCCGCGTGACTGCCAAGGATGGCGGCCTGTACTTCTTGCTGCTGAAGGACCGCAAGACCCGTTACGTGTGGGTGAAGCCGGTCGCCAAGAAGTCCGATGCGTTGCAGGCGTTCGTACAGTGGCTGGCGGTAGCTGAGCGGCAGACGAAGAAGTCGGTGCTGATGCTGCGCTCAGACCTGGGAGGGGAGTTCCTCGGGAAGCAGTTCACCGACTTCGTGAACGACAAGGGGATCGTTCATGACCTGACCTGCCCATACACCCCGCAGCAGAACGGCATGGCGGAGCGGGAGATGAGGACGGTGGTGGAGTCGGTGCGGACAATGCTGCTGCACATGGGCGTGCAGCACCACTGGTGGCACCTCGCTCTGCGGCAGGCCGTCTGGGTCCGCAACTGCGTGGAGCGGTCGACGCTGCCGCCGGGGACGACGCCGTACCAGCTGCTGACCGGGAAGAAGCCCGACCTGTCGTTGGCGCGGGTGTGGGGCTGCATGGCGCAGTTCCTTGTTCCTGAGCAGCAGCGTGGTGGGAAGCTAAAGCCGAAGGCAAGGTGGGGCCTGCACCTTGGCGTGTCGGCGGCGAGCAGGGGCTGGGAGCTCCTCGACGTCAATACCGACGGAGTGGTTACCACGTCGGACGTGGTGTTTTACGAGGAGATGTCGCTGGCCGAGTGGAAGACGGAGCATGGGCCGGTGCCCGGCCGCTTGTCGTCCACCCCGCCCTGTGACACCTCGTCAGCGACGCTGCCGCTGCTTGCCGAGGTCAGTGAGCTTGCTACTGCGGACGTCGAGGACGTCCACACCCCTGCCCCTGCCCCTCTGACCCCTGCCCCTCCCCT